GTGAGTATTTGAATGGTGACGTTAAGAGTTGATAAACAAAAAACGGGCAGACAAAAACAAGATATAAATTAACAGACAAAAGATAATAAAAAAGACAGAAGACAAACAGACGAAAATATCAATGCATTTTTATTTTTAAATATTTTTTTATTTGTATTTTATTTATAAGTTTTGGTTTTCACATTGTTATTTAGGTGCCCTGTGCATATAGATGTGTATGTGTGTGTGCGCGTGCGTGCGTGCGTGCGTGCGTGTGTGGTGTAAGATAACTGAACTAGTTATTACCAGAATGCTGTAGGTGGTCAAGCAACGGTCAGGGATATTGCTGCTTGTTGGACTAAGCTTATAATTTTTTTGTCAGATTTCTTGTTGATATATATATACATATATATATATATATATATATGTGTGTGTGTGTGTGTGTGTGTGTGTGTGTGTGTGTGTGTGTGTGTGTGTGTGTGTGTGTGTGTGTGTGTGTGTGTGTAAATGTATAAATATAAGTATATAAGTATATGTGTATGTGTGTGTGTGTGTGTGTGTGTGTGTGTGTGTGTGTGTGTGTGTGTGTGTGTGTGTGTGTGTGTGTGTGTGTGTGTGTGTGTGTGTATTACCATACTGATATATGCGTGTGTATATAATGTTTAAAGCAGTGTTGATTTGTTTGTAACTGTGATACCTAATGCTAATGCTGATGAATAAAAGAAACTTGCGGCCGATCGGAGTCAGTAATTGTTATGTACCGTAATTATATGTTTTCTTTATATATACCAATATAAATTTATTTGTTTGATTTAATTTATTCATATATTGTTCTCATTTTTTTTTTTTCAGTAACTAAAAGTAAGGAAGACTTTTAGTAACTTTTTTTATATATTTTGACGACGATTTTAGAATTGGAAGAACAGACTCGAACACCCGATTGGCTAAACCTGTTGGTAGTCTCTGATATGCGTTTGTTAGCCTCTTTTTTCTGTTCCTGTTCTTTTTATCTTCTTTTTCTCTCTCGTTTTTTTTCTGATTTCTCTCTCTCTCTCTCTCTCTCTCTCTCTCTCTCTCTCTCTCTCTCTCTCTCTCTCTCTCTCTCTCTCTCTCTCTCTCTCTCACACACACACACACACACACACACACACACACACACACACACACACACACACACATACACACACACACACACACACACACACACACACACGCACACACACACGCTCTCACTCTCATTCTCTCGGTTTGCCTGTTCTTGTTACCTTTTTTCTCTCTCTCTTTCTTATTTATATAGATACAATTTTACACAGTGAGACCGACAAGAACTTTGTTTATGTTATTTGTTTTTCGTAGAGATACAACTTTTTTATTATTTTTTTTTTTTTTTATAGAGAGAGAGAGACATGACCTCCAAAGATTGTTCACCATGTTAGTCTCGCACAGGCTTAATTACGAGATGAACTTTTTTCGTTCATTATAAAACGTCTATTACTTGTTTGCTGGTTGTTGCTCCCGCGTCGAACAAACTTTTTTTTTTTTTATTATTGTTTTCTCAGTCTTCCTTTCTTTCTGGTGTTATTATTATTATTATTTTTCTTTTAATTTTCTTTTAGAATAATTGGATGTTTTAGATGTATTAAGATGCTGTGTACATTTGGTAATTTGGGAGAGAGGGAGAGAGGGGGAGGGAGGAGAGAGGGGTGAGGGGAGGGAGAGGAAGAGGAAGAGGAAGAGAGGAAGAGAGAAGGAGAGAGGGGTAGGGAGGAGAGAGGGGTGAGGGGAGGGAGAAGAAGAGGAAGAGGAAGAGGAAGAGAGGATGAGAGAGAGAGAGAGGCAGGGGGAGACAGAGAGGGGGAGGGATAGAGAGGGAAAGGAGGAGGAGAGAGGACAGGGAGATAGGGAGAGGGAGAGGGTGAGTTGAGTAGAGGGGGGAGGGAGAGGGGGAAAGGGGGAGAGAGGGTGAAGGAAAGAGAGAGGGAATGTGGAGAACAATATGGAGCGGGAGTGGGAAAGGGAGAGAGAAAGAAAGAGAGAGGGTGTGAGGGAGTGAGAGAGTAGGAGAGGGAGAGAGAGAAGATAAGAGATGTCAGGAGAGGAGAGAAGAGAAGAGGAGAGAAGAGGAGAGGAGAGAAGTGAGGGGAGGAAATGAAAGGAAAGTAGAGAAGAGAAGAGGAAAAGAGAGAAGAGAAAAGGAAATGCGAAAATAAAGAAGTGAATGGGGTAGGAAGAGAGAGCCAACCTACCCCAAGTCAGTGTCGGCCGATAGCACATGACATGACCTCTGTCGCACCAAATTAGTCGCTTGACCCCGATCAGCTGATAACCCGGCTTTGTCTCGGGCACAGGGTGGAGGCGGGGGGTGGGAAGTGGGGGGGGGGGGCGGGTGGGAAGTGGGGGGGGGGCGGGTAAAAGAGACAGGGGGAAGGGGGCAACAAGGAAGGCAGGGGGAAGGAGAGGGGGCAAAGAGGCAGGGGGGAGGAGGGGGCAATAGAGGCAGGGGAAAGGGCGTGGGGAAGCGAGGGAGACAGGGGATATGGCGTCAGAAAGGCAGGGCGTTGAACCGTGGCAGGGGACTCGTCTGAAGGGGGGGAGGGTGACGCTGGGATGGCAGGGAGGCAGGTGACAAAGTGGGGGAGGGGGGGGGGAGTGTGTGAAGTAATTATTAGAATTGAGATTGCAGAGGAGAAGGAGGGAACGACTGGGGGGGGGGGGGAGGTGAGAGGGAGGAGGAGAAGGGGAAAGGAATGGGAAATGATAGAGGAAGGGAGAAGGGAAGAGGTAGAGAAAGGAGGAAAATGAGAAGGGGGAGAAAAAAAGGAGAACGGAGAAAGGAGGATAAGGGTAGAGGAAAAAAAGAAGAAGATGGAGAATGAAAAATAAAAACGTAATGAAAGATATGCAAAAAAACAGGAACAGAAACAGAGGCAGAGTTGTGAAAGTTTTGAAAGCTGTTCATGTCTGTATGTAAAATAGTTTACAAAATACACACCAGTCCAGCATCCCGATTCCTGACGAGCCGGACTACCCCATAGGCTCAAAAGGAAGCGATTTAAATATTCATAATCCCATTTATCACCCGAGAAATTATAATGAATGTTTGTTCCTGTCCGGGTGTTTGCTTACGCCTGGAGCAAAGGAGATTCCGAGATTACGAAGGAGAGAGAAGGGGGGGGGGGGGAAGAGAAGGAGGGAAGGGGGTGAGGAGAAGGGGAGGAGGGAAAGGGAAGGAGGGAAAGGGGGCAAGGGAAAAGGAAGAAGGGGAGGGGATGAGGGAAAGGGAAGGAGGGAAGGGGGGCAAGGGAAAAGGAAGAAGGGGAGGGGATGAAGGAAAGGGAAGGAGGGAAGGGGGTGAGGGAAAGGAAAGGAGGGAAGGAGGGAAAGAGAACGACAAGGAGGAAAAAGACAGAGGCAGAGAAAGACAATCGGAGAGACAGACAGACAAATAGACGAGGAGAGACAGACAAGTGGATAAAAAAATCATATGAAAAAAGGGACGAAGCAGAAACGAAGAAAGAGATATAGCAATCAGACTGACATAATGTAACATGAAAACGAAAAATCATAAAGAGATTAAAGAGTCACTCAAAGGTCATGACTTATCCTTTCCTTTGTCTGGTTCTTTTCTTCTCTTCTCCCCCTCTCCCCCTTTTGGTCTTAACTTTCATTCATTCATTTCTTTCTTCCTATTCTCTCTCTCTTTCTCTCTTTCTCTCTCTCTCTCTCTCTCTCTCTCTCTCTCTCTCTCTCTCTCTCTCTCTCTCTCTCTCTCTCTCTCTCTCTCTCTCTCTCTCTCTTTCTCTCTCTCCCTCTCTCTCTCTCTCTCCCTCCCCTATTCGTCTTCTCTTTTTTCCCCTTCCTCGTAATTTTCCTTTTCCCCCTATTTGCTCCCCCCCCCCTTCTCTCCGCTTCACCCCAATTTCACTTCCCCATATTCCCCTATTTTCATCCTCTTTGCCCGCTTCCCTTCTCCTCCTTTCTTCTTTCTTCTCCCTTCTTCCTTCCCCCCCTCCCCAGCCCCTCTCCATTTCACTCCTTATCCTCGGCAAAGCCATAAAACCGTCAAGGAGGCGACCCCATTCGTTATTTCCTATCGAGCAATTCGGATAACGAGAGAGAGAGAGAGAGAGAGAGAGAGAGAGAGAGAGAGAGAGAGAGAGAGAGAGAGAGAGAGAGAGAGAGAGAGAGAGAGAGAGAGAGAGAGAGAGAGAGAGAGAGAGAGAGCGAGAGAGAGCGAGAGAGCGAGAGAGAGCGAGAGAGCGAGAGAGAGCGAGAGAGCGAGAGAGAGGATGAGAGCGAGAGAGAGAATGAGAGAGAGAGAGAGAGAGAGAGAGAGAGAGAGAGAGAGAGAGAGAGAGAGAGAGAGAGAGAGAGAGAGAGAGAGAGAGAGAGGGAATGAGAGAGAGAGAGAGAAAAAGTGTGAGAGAAAGAGAGAGAGAGACAGAGAGAGCGAGAAAGAGATAAATAGAAATATATATAGATAGATAGAGAGAAATAGTGAGAAATAGAGAGAAAGAGAAAGAGAGAGATTAGCGTAACCGGAGACAGATTTCGCGTGTAGATACGACCCCGAACACTATGGGATCGCGGACCGGGCATGTAGATGAGTAGATCTGACGGATAGATGGTAAGGGGGGGGGGGGCCAGGTAGATGAGTAGATCTGACGGGTAGGTGGTGAGGGGGGGGGGGGTGGCAGGTAGATGGGCAGATATGCGATGGGTAGATGGAGGTACTCGGTCGATAAGTAGGTTGAAAGGCAGGTGTGAAGCGACGGTATAGATTGCTGCGAAAGAGGGACCCGCGTATGTAAATTTGGTAAACAGATTGGGGACTCGAGAAGGGGGGAAGGGGGGGGGGGTGTTCACGAGGGTAACACATGTGCTGTATATCTGTCGGTGCTTGTGATGTACAGGTACTTTTTTTTCTACGTGAACGAGGAAAGAAAAAAAAAGAAAAGAAAAGAGAATAAAGGATAGACCAAAGTAGATTTTAATTTTATTTATTTTGTTTCTTGTTTTTT